TGGTGACAAGAATGCACACAGACCCATGTGTGATGTCACAGGTGGCCCCTATATCCCACTTCAGGAAACACTTGTTAGGGTCCCTTCAAGGTGGCAATCTAGAATCCTGTTAGACTGAGGCACACAGTGGAGGTGGCTACATCCCACCATACATTTGCTTCAGGGATGTGGGATGTTTTCTGAGAATTCTGACCCATGAGAGGACTGTGCCCAAGGACGAGGGGACCAGGACCCACCCGCCCGCCACAGCCCAGATGCACCTCTCTAATTATCAGGCAGGTAAGCATGCAGCTCCGCAAGGGAATTCAAGTGTGCAAGCACCAAATATGGCCATCGTTCTTGGGAGTGAGAAAGAGGACAAAACAATGTATGGGGGGGAAAAAGTTTATTAGATGCTCCTTTTGTAAAGCAGCAGACGAAGCAGACATCTCACTGCTGACCACACCACTCACCATTTGGCACAGTACACGAGCGCCACCACGGCAGAACAAAATCAAGGAATTTACATTTTGCAGTAAGTGATATTTCACTGCAATAAAATTCAAAAAGGTTAAGCACTCTGAAACCAGGATCTTCATTTAAAAAGGCAGCTTCCTGCAGCCTCAATCCATAGACGCATCCTGAGAGGACACCAAACTGTATGACAGATTTTTTTTTTTTTTCGGGGCCAAAAGAAATAAGGCTCAGAGTCTTCAAGTATTCACATTCCACATTTGATCATCAGAACAATAACACATTCCAGAAGAAAATCTGTGTGCTCCAACCTATTGGCACCTCCAGCCACACACTGGGCTTACTATAAACTGGAGGAAAAGCTAAGAAACAGTGAAAATATTCTCCAAGGTGAACCTGGGAAGGGGACGTGCATGGCCAGGGGTGCTGCTAAAATCAAATATCACTGATTTGCTACAAAACACAGACACCTGTGCCACATGAGACCCAAGGTACCATCCAGAGCTTGCACAGAACCAGGAAAGTGTTCCAGTTGGTTCTGGTGACCAAGAACCTTGCAACTGCAGGAAGGCTGTGCCCCAGTCAGGATAATACACTGCGTCAGTCTCCTTGGTCCCCAGTGGCTTTGTAGGCTGCTGGGATGACAACTTCCATGGGAACAGCGGAGATAGGGGCATCTCTGGCTGGAGAGCAGAGAGGCTCAAATGCCAGCAGACCCCACCCTTGCTGCATGTGCAACCAATGCCCATGGGGTCCTGTCCATGGGCACCGAGACTCTGCACCAGCATCCGGTTTGCTTCCCACAGAGCAAGCTGACACTCAGAGCAGCCACATCAACCCTGTGCAATGCCTCTGCGACCAAAGGTGATGCTCAGTCTTCAGTCTCCAGTTCGTACTGCAGACCGGGGCTAAATGCTGAGGCTTGAACAGTGGCATGTCAGGGCCTGCCTCCCTCCTCCCTGTGCATGTGCGTAGACTGCAGTGTGAAGGGGGAAGAGGAAGGTGTGTATGCAGAGAGTAGCCTTTTAGAAATGCTCTTACTGTCCACAGTGAGTCCAAAAGCAGGTGTGGAAATTTAAAAAATTTACAGTGCCCCAGAGTGCTACTGAGCTGGCCAGTCTCAGTCAGAAACCTCTGATCTATAATGTCTTTAACAACTTGTAGGTATTTTTTGGACACCGTTATGTTCTACCTCAAGGAGGAGAGAACACTGAAGAACATGTTTACCAAGTGAGACCCTTGTGAGTTGTCTTCCTACATAAAATATAACACCCGCAGCCACAAGGTCTCCCAGGGCCCGGCTAGAGCAGGGTGGGCGTCTCATCTCTGCTGGTCCTTTGGCCAAACTGGAAACACCAACTCTTGCAGAGAAACTAAGTATGGAAACCATGGGATTCCCTGAAATGGTGATTCACATAGAGAAACAAAAGTACTGGGACATAAGAGATTCCAAGGAATTCATCCTTCAAGCGGAGTTGAGCTGGTGAAAATTTTTGTTTATATTTTTTATTTTTTTAAAGTGTTTGATTCAGTGGTTTTTAGAATATTCTTAAAATTGTGCACCATCACTACTAATCCCAGAACATTTTCATCGCCCAAAAAAAGGAACCTTGTATCTATTAGCAGTCACTCCCCGTTCACCCCAGCATCCGGCTCCTGGCCACCACTCTCCCATCATCGGTCTCTAGAGATGTGCCTCTTCTGGATATTTCACATAAATGGAATTATATAGTGTGTGGCTTTTCCCAATGGCTTCTATCATTTCATGTAATGTTTTCAAGATTCATCCATATTATAGTATGTATCAGTACTTCATTTCTTTTTACTCTGAATAACATGTCATTATAGAGATATAAATTTTATTTATCCATTCATCAGTTGATAGATATTTGGATTATTTCCATTTTTGACTATTATAAATTATGGTGCCATGAACATTTATGTACCAGTTTTTGTGTGTATGCTTTAATTTCTCTTAAGAAAATACTTAGGAGTGGCATTTCTGGTGTTTTTAACTTTTGAGCAATTGCCAAATTGTTTTCCAAAGTGGATGCACTATTTTACATCATTAGCACAAGCAATGTACAAGCATTCCAATTTCTTTGCATCCTTGCTAACACCTGTGATTGCCCATCTCTTTGATTACAGCCATCTTAGTGGGTGTGAAGTGATATTTCGCTGTGGTTTTGATTTGCATTTCCTTAATGAATAATTCTGGGCATCCTTTCATGCACTTACTGGCCAGTTATATTATTTTCTTTGGAGAAGATATAAAAATGTCTATTCGCTTGTTAATTCAAATACATGTTTTGCCTATATTTAACAATGGCTTGTTTTTTTTTTATTATTAAGTTGTAAGAGTTCTTAATGTGTTATGGATACAAGTATATTATTTGCAAATATTTCCTTTCTTTCATTCCGTGAGCAAGTTTTCTCACTTTCTTGATAGTGTTCTTTGAAGCATAAACATTTTGTGCCCATTTTTATGAGGTCCGGTTTATCTAATTTTCCTTTCCTCGTGCTTTGAGTGTCATATCTAAAAAACCATTGCCTAATCCAAGGTCACAAAGATTGATGCCTATGTTTCTTCTAGGAGTTTTGAAGATTTAGCTCTTACATTTAGGTCTTTGATGCATTTTGAGTTAATTTATATAGAGTGTGAGGTAGGGATCCAACTTCATTCATTTGCATGTGGATAGCCAGTTGTCCCAGCACTGTTTTTTGAAAAAAAACAACAACTATCATTCCTATTAAATTCTCTTGTCACACTTGCCAAAAATCTACTGGCTGTAAATGTAAGTATTTATTATATATCTATATTCTCTATTCTATTCCATTGATCAATATGTCTGTCATTATGCCAGGACCAGACTGTTCTGATTACTGTAGCTTTCTAGTACATTTTGAAAGCAGGAAGTGTGGATACAATTTTGTTCTTCTTTTTCAAGGTTTAGTAATTTGGGATTCTTAGCATTTTCATATGAATTTTAGGATCAGCTTATGTAAAGAAGCCAGCTAGGGTTTTAAAAGGAATAACATTAAATCTGTAGACCAATCTGGATGGTGTTGTTAAGACCCAGGAAAAAGGATGTCTCTCAATTTCTTTAAGTCTTCTTCAATTTCTTTCAATGATATTCTGTAGTTTCCAGGGTATAAGTCCTATATTTCTTTCATTGAATTTATTTCTATTTTGTATTCTTTCTTTCTGAAATAATTATAAATTTAATTATTTCTTAATTTTATTGGCATATTGTTCATTGCTAGTAAAAAAAAAAAATACGATGACATCAAGCAGGTAGTGAAGCAGGCATCAGAGGGCATCTCAAGGGCAGCCTGGGCTACACTGAGGACCCAGGTGTCTCCTGTGACTTTAACAGTGACGCTCACTCCTCCATCTTCGATGCTGGGCTGGCATTGCCCTCAATGATCACTTCATCAAGCTTGTTTCCTGCTATGACAATGAATTTGCCAATAGCAACAGGAGGTGGACCTATGGCCCACATGGCCTCCAAGGAGTCAGAGCCCCCTGGACCACCACCCTTAGCGACAGGAAGACAGGCCTCAGCTGCTGGGGAGTCCTTGCCCCAAAATTCTCCCCCAACACACTGAGAATCTCCTGACCTCCACAGTTTCCATCCCAGACCCATGAAGAAGGAGAGGGGCATAGGGATCCCTACCTTGTCATGTACCATCAATAAAATTCACTGTACTCAGGAGAGAGAGAGAGAGAGAGAGAGAGAGAGAGAGAGAGAGAGAGAGAGAGAGAGAGAGAGGGAGAGAGAGAGGGAGGAAATACAATAGATTTTTATATAATGACCTTGTACTCTGAAATTTTGCTGAACTCATTAATTAGTTTTCATGGGTGTGTGTATGCGTACAAATTCCTTAGAATTTTCTATGTATAAAACATCGTGTCAGCTACAAAGAGATTTACTTATTTTCCAATTTGGGTGCCTTTTACTTCTTTCTTTCTCAGTTGCTACTTAAATATTAGCTTGTTAAACATTTTAAATCCAAGTTTTAATGGGCTGCTTGTGCCAAACTGCCTCCTAGGGGAATCTCCAAGTCCCAGAGCCATCCTCTGTCAGGCAAGAGGATGCTGGGTCAGCAAACACTCTCTGGGCTCAGGCGGCTATGAGCACCACCACCCCTTTTGGGGTCCTGCTCCCACTCCTTACTCCAAGCTCAGGACACTAGGCTTCCACATATAATTGGCCACCAATCCTACACTTAGATCACAGAATAAAGGAGAAAAGAGATACTGGAGTGAAAGTACAGGCTTGGGAAACATAAACAACTCACCCAGCAGCCAGTGAGGTCGGGGTAGCAGAAGTAGCTGTGGGAACCCAGGGGAGATCCAGGTCACCCTGTCACCTTCCCCCATGCAGACCGCTTCCCTTCCCGTGTCAGGATCCCACCCCATCCAAGCTGCCCCGAGGTGTGGAGGTGTACAAACTGAAAGGTACCTATACACACAGGGCCACGGCCGCCACGGGGCGGACTGTCCTGTCACACACCCTGATGGGAAGAGGAGTCAGCCAGGCTGGTCACAGGGAGGAGAGCTGCGAGGAGCTCCTCTGGCTGGAGCTGTGCCGACTCAGGACAAAGGTGGAGGAGTTGCTCTTTTTGCTCACGCTGGTGTCCCCAGGCCGAGCGCCCCGCCGGAAGCCGGAGGAGCAACAGAGGACGCGCTGCACGAGCTCGTGGAAGAGGTGGCCGGTGAAGAGCATGTAGATCCAGGGGTTGCAGCAGCTGTTGAGGCTGGCCAGGAGCATGGCGATGATGAAGGCCGAGGCTGCGGGGGTCGGGGTGCAGGGAGAAAGAGAACAGGGCATCAGGACTGGAGTGCTAACCACTGTTTCCGGAGAGCAGCTTTTTTTCTGGTACCAGGAGCTGGGCCACAGAGTACTAAAGAGACAAAGTCTGGCCCTGGCTGGTGTGCTCAGTGGTTAGAATGTCAGCCCACTCACCAAAGGGTCACAGGTTCGAATCCTGGTCAAGGGCACGTACCTACGTTGCAGGTTTAATCCTGATATGCCTCTCTTACATCAATGTTTCTCTCTCTCTCTTTCTTCCCCTCTCTTCCTCCCTCCCTTCCTTCCACTCCCTAAAAATCAATGGAAAAAATATCCTCTGACTCTAGCCAGTCCGGCTCAGTGGTTAGAGCATCTCAGCCCGAGGACTGAAGGGTCTCAGATTCAATTCTAGTCAAGGGCATATATCTCAGATGCAGGCTCCCCAGCCCTGATTCAGGCGCCTGCAGGAGGCAACCAATCCATATTTCTCTCTGTGTCTCTCTCCCCTTCCCTTCCATTCTCTCTCTAAAAAATAAATAAATAAATAAATAATCAATGGCTAAAATATCCTTGGGTAAGGATTAACAAAAAATAAGATAAAGAGATACATCCTTGCTCTTGTGCACTCAGCCTGCCCCCCAAACCCTCCCAGCTCAGCCAGCCCTGGGAGGCTCCGGGTCGTTCTCTCATCAAACACTTCCCCACTGCGTGCTTCCACCAGCAGGCGCTGCCCTCCTCACGGCCACCTGTAGGTTCACCGCTCACCCAGTAGGTGCGAGTGCCTACAGCTCAGAGTCCCAGAGCACAGAGTCTGGAAGCTGCCAGACCTGGTTTGTATTCTAGCCCCATCAGGGACAAATGATTTTAACTCGCCCCAAACTTCTGTTTCCTAATCTCTAAGTGGGGACAAGCGTACACAAACCCCACAGGAATGCTGTAAGGATTAATAAGTGCCCAGAACATAGTTAAGTGCCCAATACATTGCTGGCTGCCACCTCAGTCATGTGCCAGGCACCAGGCTAGGCACTGGGAACACAAAAATAAAATGAGTGGCACCATGAGGTGGGCACACTGAGGAGAGATGCAACTGTCTAGGAGCAAATCACAGCGGGCCCCACAGAAACCAGCCTTGGAGCTCATGAATGCTCCAGACAGGGAAGGGAGGAGAGAATGGCACAGGCCTGGGCATGGTGGCCAGAAAGTAGATGCTATCAGTGAAGATGCCCCTAAGAGCACTGCTTTGACATGACAACAAACTTTTACTAAAAAGAAAAAAAAAAAAGAAAGAAAAAAAAAAAAGTGACACTAAAATTAAATGAGGCACTGTATACAAGCCATTATCCTGAGTTTCAGGCAGAATTAGTGATCAGCAATCAACTTCATGACATTAGTTATCAAAACTGTCACAAATGTAACCTTCAAAGAGAAAGAAAAGTCCTAACCCTAAATAATTCTTTGTAGTAGGAGGGGAGAAATATCTGGGTTTCTTTCAATGGACTTAAATCAGACAAACTTCGGACATCTCCCAACAACAGAGAAGGACACGCAGCCGTCCAGAAACCCAAGGAATCGTATTCTCAAGGATTCTGTTCACAACCACATCCTCATGAGCGAAGCAACTGCAAAGGCTGGGAAAATCCTCTGGTCTTCCGTCTCTTCTGGGGAAAGTTTTCAAAAGCTAAATCCAGGAAAGGATTTTTCATGGAAATGCTGGAGTTTTGAGATCTAGATACCAACATACTAAAAAGAGGCCACATACTAAACCTGACAAGCTCAGGGGAGGCCTGCATGCCGGCCTCGGAAAGGAACTACATAAGATGGTCTGATCATAAAAATTCCTAACTAAAAGCAGGTAATGGTAGGTAGTCACATCCTAGGCCTGTAGCTTCCTTGACAAAGGTTAATCTTTACCTCAAGTGAGCCTGTGCATTGTCTTTTTGTAACTAAGATAACATGCCTTTGAAATAGGAGTAATGTTCTTCCCCAGACCCCCTCAGGGCACACCCAGCTCTGGAAGACCATGGAACCCCTCATTGTCATCTTGCTCCCTGAATTCCACCACTGTGCGTTGTAAATGTAACTCTCCTGTACCCACCAAAGTAAAATAAGTATATGTCTCTCCACTTTGCTTTTCATGCAATCCCAGAGATTTCCCTACTTTACTCTCTCTCACCCCCTTAATCTACCATCAACCCCTGTTATGGCTCTTCCTTTGATGCTAACATATGAAATAAACTGCCATTTTTCTGAAGCACTTTCTCAACCTGTTGCAATTTTGCTTCCAAGCAACTATAGTCAATTTGACTAAAAAAAAAACAAACACACAAAACTCATAAAAAGTCTCTACAGGCCTGGGCATTTCTTATGCCAACACCACCGTCAATGCAGAATAGAGCTATTGGTCTGCAAGGTGTCCTAGCACCTAACGGAAGAGGGCGGTTATTTGTGAAACAAATTCATTGGTCCCCCCAGATCACCTGAACTCGTTAGAAAAGCCAGTTTCTAGGCCCCACCCTAAACCTAGGGAATCAGACTCCTGGGGGCATGGTTGAGTGGTTGGTTGTAAATAGCCCTCCAGGGGAGACTGAGGCACACCCACGTTTGAGAAGCACTAGTCTGATTCCTTGGTGCACCTGGAACCAAAACAAGCTAAGGCAGACAAAAAAAAAAAAAAAAAAATCTTGCAAAAGAGAATGTTTGGAGAAAAGAGAAAAATCAAACCCTTAGACAAAAATAATTTAAAAGAGAGAATGAAGAGGGGGAAAGCCAATAATTTCTTTCTAGAAAAGAAAATGAAAAAAAAATATTTGCTCTGATTTGAATGGGCAAGAAGATGAATTTAAATTTAGAAATTCTGGTGAAATATCAACGAGACTAAGAATATATCATAATTAAAGATACAAAATGAAAGAGGCAAAAATCACACATAAAAGTTAAAAAAAAAAAAAAAAAAGGCATAAAAAATAATCTATCGGACACCAGGGGGAGAAATGTAGGCATCTGAGGCTATAAAATGGGATAGAATGAAGTTCAGGCTTAGTCAGAAAGGCACTGTGTTTTACCTAGCTGTGTGGTTAACGGTATAATCTTAGTTGATTTAAGCTACTTGCCTTCATATAAGCTACTTGCCTCACTCTTAAGTGTGGATCTTTGTAATTCATTTACCCTATTTAAAAAAAAAAAAACAAAAAACTTCCATAAACAACAACACAAAGTAAACAGCTGATAAATTCTGAGCAGCTGGCCAGCCTGGGTGGAAGGCATGGAGCCATGGCCACCACCTCTGCCCCCCATCGGGTGGCTACAGACACGAATAACTTGCCTGGCCACGGATGACCCTCTCTAAGCTGATCCTGCTCACATCAAGCTGCCAATGTTAAGGACACATTTGGACTTCTTTTAGCTGACAAATATCCTAATCACCCAAGACCTGAGAGTCCTCGCTGTGGTGGAATTTCAAGCCATCAGCAGGAAGGAGAGCTACTTAGAAATTAAAAAAAAAAAAAAAAAACAAGGACTATGGTGGACATTTCAAAGGGGGAAAGCAGCAGGACTAGCAGACACACTGGTGAGAATGCTCCAGAGAGAGCATTCAGACACTGCCAGAGCTGGAGAAGTTGCAATTGCATGGGAGGAGAGACTGGGAAGAGCTGGGCTGAGGAGGACTTTAAATCCAGGCTGCATCTGAACTTGAATCTACAGGCAATGGGCAGCCACTGATGGTTCCAGCAGGCGAGTGACAGCACCTCCACTGCTCTTTGCCTTACTGCTTCTTGTTCAGGCTACTACATTGCCCTTCCATAGGGCTGTTACAGAGACCTTACACCTGCCTCCCTCACCCCAGCCTATTTGGCCTTTTACAGAAAAAGTTAGCCAATCCTTGATGTCTAAAGAGGGGCCGATGTTAAAAAGCATAGAAAAGAGCTCAGAAAGGGGAGAGGCAGACCTCCAGGGCAAGCTCAGCCCACTGTTCCCCACATTAGCAGTACTTGGGGGAGGAACTGGTGGGCACAAGACTGGGGACTACAGGGGATCTTTAAGGAGGGGTTCCAAGCCGGGGAGGTAAGCAGAAATAGCCATGTACCAAAAGCAGACAACTCATGCAGAGTAACTGTACTCCAGGAAACAGGAGACACTCTGTATTTCCACTTGGCACCGTGATTCATGGAGAAGTGGGCGGTCTGAGAGCCATTCCTGGACTGTCTGCCTGAGATCCTCCTACCAGGCCTGGCTTTACTCAAGCCAGGAGAAGTCCCCTGTTTGGATATCCCAGAACTCCCTCCACTCAAATTTCCCAGCACCCCTGTCACTGGAGGCCCAAATTAGCCCAGAACAGCTGACACGCAGCTGCTTGAGGCCTCTCTGGGCTGTGCTGTCCCTGAGGCGGTTCACATACAATTTAGCTGGCATCTCTCTTTTCATCTGAATCAGATCAAGCTCATCGACTTTTACACTCCAGAAACCAACAACTAGGTTCAAGGCCTCCTCATTGCCCCGTGTCAGTGTCCCCCTAATGTCAATATTAGGATCTAAGTTCCTTATTCCTATGGGGGCTGCGTAGAACTTGGCAGTCGTAGTCTAAGGAAGACCTTTTTATTTTTATTTTTTTACTGTACACATATATAAAGACTGAAAAGCAATATGTATTACAGAGTGCCTTCTTTGAAAAAAGACTACAATTTGACAACATTGGAATTGTTCTAAAAATTGGAATTGTTCTAAAAGTCCCAAGTGTATGATCATCCTATGTATCATAGGGTTGGGATTAACAGCCAAATTTGTGGGCTACAGAGTGTCACGTGTGCTTCTATTATGTCACTGCTCAAATCAGGGAAACATGTGCTCTCTGGACTGAACCTGAGGCATAGCCACATTCTGAAAACAGAAGGGCAGGGGCCTTTTGGCAAATGACCAGCCCTTTTCTACTCCGAGGGGACAACAGGGCCCTGTAGCCCATTGGGCCATATGTGTCAAGGCAAACTGCACGTTTTGGTGAAAG